GTCCTGATTCCATCACAATCCATTTTCATTTTGCAGCATGTGTAACCTTTCTATGTCATAAAGTGATATTGGTTCACAGGAAAGCGCGTAGAGCTCGTCCTTCTCATCCCGTCTCACCTTGCCTCCTATGTCTTTCAGGAGATATTAGAAGAAGGTCGCTACAGATTGCTCTTTTTATTCCTTGTCAGAACTGAGCAGTTTCCAAATGAGAGAGCTCAGGAGAGCGAATTGAATGTTATGGGAGGTTATGTTGTGCCAAGGATTTACAGTGGAAAAAAACATGTTGTGTTAAACTGGATGCTGAACCTCCTTCTCTCCAGATGCAGGAATGTGTCGGGGTAGGCTTGTAGGCTAGATATATACAGCTTGGTCCATAGAAAGCAGTGTATATAACTATAAGGGTAGCTACACATGTATCAATGCGATTATACAATATATCAATCTATGCACATAAAATTGTCGATTTGAATAAGAATTTCAAACCAAAGTTCCTCCATTCAATTGATTTATCGAGTTGTCCATTGATTTTTGTCAGTATGATTGACTGTGGCAGAATTTACCAATTACTTCTAATTTGCTTCTTGATACTTTAATTTGATAAAACCTGCATTTTAGAAAACCAATGCAAACAATAGTTATGACAATCCAATACAATGGTCTTCAAACTGTGGCCCGGATGCTGCCCTTTGCTTGCCTTTATCTGGCCCTTGGGGCATTATTCCCTCCACTGTCAGCAACAGTGAGTCATACAAGATAGACTAGGCTAGGTTCACACCTATGCAGGTTGCATTTGAGCCATTTCTGCATTGCATTTTGCATTGTGTTTTTGCACCTGCGTTGTTTACACATTTTTGCGGCGTTTTGTGGGGGGGGTTTTTTTTCATTTTTTTGTATTTTTTCTTGTTACTAGGCAGATTTAAAATGCAAAACGCAAACCACATAAAAAATGCAGCAAAACTGCAGCAGAAACGCAATACATGCTTTTGTGCAGTGTTTCCATTGAAGTCTTCTCCAGGGTGTCACCCATCCTCTGGAACTCCCTGCCCCAACCCATCAGATTATCACCTACTCTCCTCTCCTTTAGGCACACCCTGAAAAACCCATCTCTTCAGGGAAGCCTACCCCACCCCCTGCTAACTTGCCGACCTCCTCCACTCTTCCTACCACTCCATCCCCCACAGCTATCTCCTCCTGTGCCACCATCCCCTCCCTCCTAGATTGTAAGCTCAAAAGAGCAGGACCCTCAATCCCCTCATGTTTTGCATTGTATTGGTATTGTTCTGTCACATGTTCTGTCCCCCTTTGTAATGTACAGCGCTGAGCGAACTATTGGCGCTTTATAAATACTGTATAATAATAATAATATAGAACCAAAAATGCTACTTTTTGCATTCAAAAAAGTCCCTGACACTTTCCAAAAAATGCACGGAGTGAAAACGTGCAGATGTGAACATGTCCCATAGGAAATCATGTTAAATGGACTGTACTGCGTTTCTGCAGAAAACATTTAGGTGTGAACTTAGGGTAAAATTACTTTCTCCTCAACCAGGTACTAATAGGTAAGTTAATCAAATATCATTAAACAAAAGACCACATTTTAATGATGATGGTAATAGTGGTATTGGAGGGGGAGTCATCGGTACAACACAAGGATTATATACTATTAATAAAAACCACCAGACTGTGTTGCATTTAATATAAATATATGTCTGTTTTAGGATTTTTTCCTTAGACTTACATGAAAGGGTCGGTTAGTTCATTTGTATTAGAAACAGAAATCAGGTTACTTTTGAATGTTAGAGTGGACGACTCAAACAAATGCCTTAGTAACAATTACACAAGCTATCTTCTACAATAATGAGAACTTAGATACCATTGTTGTATGTTGGGCTCTTTTGTTGGGCTCTTTTGCTGATTGTAACTGAAATCAGCAAGTCAAGTTAATCAATGGTTAACAGTAGCTTGACCTTCTGACATATATGACCTATGCCATGTATGATACAACAGTGCCATCTAGAGGTTGAATTAGAGAATGTTTCTCCCATTGAAACACAGTATTGTGAAAGGAGCCACACCCATGTGGGATGGCAAAACTTTCCAAATAAAAAGGTTAGGCTGAAAAGGAGGACCAAGGAAGATCTCTGACAGAAGAAGACTTTTTTGCCCCGATCTCCTGCATCTGCTGTAGAGTAAACCTTTTAGCGTTTTTACAGATTGCTTATTTGCTAGGAATTAGTAGCATTTTGCTTGATATAGTTATATCTGTCAGTCTTGTATTGTTTCCTATAACTACAGTAGGTTGTATGTACAACATTTTTGCTTAGTAAAAGCACATTATTACATTATGGAGGTCTAACCTTTCTTGCTTATAACGCAAAGTAGCCTTAACTAGACACCAAGAAAAACACAGACTTTGACTACTACCCCTCAAGTTCAACAAATTATCTATGACACGTCAAATAAGGTAACCTAAAATCTCATATTTATTCATATACTTTAAAACTGAAAGTGTTACTAAACCCACAACAGTAAAATCAGTCTGTATATGCAGTAAAGCATTCTTGTTATACTCACTGTGGAACCTAAGGGCTTCATCCTCCGCATTGTGTAAAAAGGCTGTCTGATCCTGTCTTCTCTGATCCCCCCTTCTTTCTACTGTCCCCAATCCATCTGCTGATAGTACAGAGCTCTATGAGCCATTCTGTCCATGCTCAGTTTAGTGTGTATTGCTAGAGAGTTTTTTTTTGGGGGGGAGGGTGCATGTGATCAGCACAGGACCAATCAACACTGTCCAGACAAAGGGTCAGGGGTTATGCAGCCTCTTAGGACATTCAGAGCAGAATGAAAACTCCTCCTACAAGTTTTAACCGGTGCTTGGACAGACACAGATAGAAGTCACAAGACTGCTCTAACTGCTGATGAGAAAATGTATTTTTATATTTACTAAAATAATTGCATTTCCATGTTCTTTGTACTGTTGGAGAGCAGATATAGTGAATGCAGGGTCATGGGTTTAGTAACACTTGAGGCATATAAAAAGTAAAGTATATAAAAAATCGAAGCATATAAAAAAAATCCTTGGCCAAGGAGTATTTACAGCCAAGGATTTTTTATATGCTCCAGTTTTAATGTATATCAATCAATATGAGATTTTAGGTTACCTTTTTTGAAGTGTCATATATAATTTGTTGAACTTGAGGGGTAGTAATCAAAGTCTGGTGGTTTTTATTAAGAGTATATAACAGTGGGGCACAGTTCCTGCTACTGAAACCAACAATGGGGCACTATTCCTCGCCCTGACACCAATGATGAAGCAATATCACTCCTATTGACACCAATGATGGTGCACTATTCCTCCCATTGACACCAAGGATGGGGCACTATTCCTCCCATTGACACCAATGATGGGTCACAATTCCTCCCATTGACACTAATAATGGGGCACTATTCCTCCCATTGACACCAATAATGGGGCACTATTCCTCCCATTGACACCAATGATGGGGCACTATTACTCCCATTGACACCCAGGATGGGTCACTATTCCTCCCATTGACACCAATGATGGGTCACTATTCCTCCCATTGACACCAATGATGGGTCACAATTCCTCCCATTGACACTAATAATGGGGCACTATTCCTCCCATTGACACCAATAATGGGGCACTATTCCTCCCATTGACACCAACGATGGGCCACTATTCTTCCTCCTAATACTAATCATGGAGCATTGTTCACTCGTTTAGATGCTAGAGCATTTTCTACCCCCCTAAAGTTTGAAGGATAGTAAACTGGCCCTTTGTTTAGAAGGTTTGGAGACCCCTGCAATATAACCATACGTGAAAGTTCTCCTTTCATATTGTGAATTCTTCCTGTGTGTATGCCATCTCTTTCCACAACTTCCCTGATTCCCGGCATACTTTCCTCGGCTATTTACTTTCAATTTCTAAGGACCAGGGGCGGACTGACCATTTGGAAACTTGAGCACTGCCCGAGGGCCCGGGGTCAGTAGGGGGCCCCATGAGATGCCCCTGGTACCTTTTTCATAGGCTTTTTTGAGTTTGGGCAAGGACACAGGGGTCCCATGATCCCCTATTGCCCGGGGGCCCCATGAGTTGTCAGTCCGCCCCTGCTAAGGACTACATATCCCATAGTACCTTGCTGTCTGCAAGCAATGATTCCTGTACTGACTCCGCCTCCTGAAACTCCTCCTCTCAGCATGTCTGTCAATCACAAGACAGGTTCTGTGCAATGCATGGTACAGGACATAGTGACTACGTGTCACAGAATTCAAGGAAGTAAATGTTTACAAACTTCAGGATCATTTAGATTAATAGGAGTAGGCTAGAAATAAATGAAATACAATGTGGAAATGAATATATGATTTTACATTTTGACTATAGATACATTTTAACCTCTAGCCTACAGGGCACTTATACCCCCTTCCTGCCCAGGCCAATTTCCAGCTTTTAGCGCTGTCACACTTTGAATGACAATTGCACGGTCATGCAACACTGTACCCATATGAAATTTTTAGCATTTTTTTGAGTCAGATAGAGATTTCTTTTGGTGGTATTTAATCACCTCTGGGATTTTTATTTTTTCTTAAACAAACCAAAAACCACTGAAAATTTTGAAAAAAAAATGTTTTTTCTTAGTTTTTGTTATACAATTTTGTAAATAAGTGATTTTTCTCCTTCACTGATGTGCGCTAATGAGGCTGCAGTGATGGGCACTGATAGGCTGCACTGATGGACACTGATAGGTGGCACTGATGGGCACTGATGAGAAGGCACTGGTAGGTTGCACTGAGGGGCATTGACAGGCATCACTGATGGGCACTGAAAGACTGCACTGATACATGACACTGATACATGACACTGATATATTGCACTGATAGGCAGCACTGACTGGCACTGATAGGCAGCACTGATGCACACTGATAAGCGACACTGACTGGCACTGATAGGTGGCACTGATTGGCAGCACTGATAGGTGGCACTGATTGACAGCACTGATAGGTGGCACTGATTGGCATTGATAAGTGGCACTGACTGGCACTGATGGGTGACATTGAAAGGCAGCTCAGATGGGCACTGATATGTGGCATTGATGTGCACTGCTATGCACTGATATGTGGCATTGATGTGGCACTGATGGGCACTGGCACGTGGCACTGATGAGCACTGACTGCTGGCACTGATGGACACTGACAGGTGGCACTTCTGGGGCCACACTGATCATCAGGGCACACTGATCATCAGTGCCCTGATGATCAGTGTACATGTCCCCTCCACGGAAAGCCAATTACCGGCTCTCCTCACCTCTTGAGCTGTCAGCGTGACAGCTCGAGAGGAGAGAAATGCCGATAACTGGCATTTCCGTGTTTACATGTGATCAGCTATGATTGGACACAGCTGATCACATAACTGAGCTGACATCTTCGGCTCTTTCCATGATCCCCTGTGTCCGAGGGACACAGCGCACCGGCGATCACCGCGCTGTGCGCTCCCTGAGCCGCGCATGCGCGGTGAGAATGGAAGGACATCATATGACATCCTATCAGAACGAGAGAACCACCTTGCGCCCGTCATTGTACTATATGGCGGGCGGAAGGTGGTTAAATGATCATTTTTAATAGATTGTTTACATTTATAACTGATAGATTAAGTTTTCGATTGATGTTTATAGTCAGTCACCAATTGTGGAACAATAATTTGTGTGTTGCATTGTTCAATATTGTAATCAATGATAAATCCCTTGTTTGTGATTACTGTTACATAAATCATCACAGATAGCTACATGTATGGCCAACATTAGACTGCAGTTCTCCTTTAAACATATAAAAAAATAGATATAAATGGATTGTTTAGACATTTATGATTGTCTCCTTTTTTGGGGTGCAATGCAGAACTTAAACTTTAAATGGCAGTTTGTACCTGTGTCCTTATTCCTGGATCCATTCCCCAAGTAGACAGCTACCTTGGGTCTTCCAGTAGAAGCGTTTTGCAGATCAGATAACTATTTACTGGTGATATCCCAATGAGCAATTTCATCTCCTACATACTGAATTATTAATCAATATTTCATTGAACTCATTCTGAATGAAATGCTCTGACTTGTTATTGATTGTATTTAGTGAAGCATTAGTATACTGTGGTTCATATAAATGCCATTTAGAAGTGTACTTACTGATTAGTGTCCATGCTAGAGCTGCACACGAGATGGTTTTTTAATTGCTTTAATATTCTACGGGGGATTTTAATGCATAATTAAATGTCACATTTTATTTGCAGATGCTTTTTCCTACTAGGAACTCTTTTATTGTTTTACTATAAACATTACAATCATGTAGTGAGCGATAAGCACAATAAAGGAAGCAAATTAATGAGCTAATTTTTTTTTTTTGTGGGGGGAAGTGGGGAGTGGTGGGGCATGTATAAGGTTTTCATGGTCTTAAAGGGATATTCCCACACGTATCTACTGTCCCGAATTTGCCTGGACAGTCCTGCTTTTTAGTTAGTTGTCCCATGACAACTGTATTCCGGGCTGTGTCCCGTGATCACAGTGTGAGGCAATCTATCTGCACTGGTTGTCTTGGCCAGGGGTTACATCCCATCCCCTCAAACACAATCCCTGGCTGTACAGAAGGTAGGAGGGCATTGGATACTGTGTTTCCAATGTGTAGTTGGATCATTAATCACAGATCCGGCTGCTGAAGAAGCCATCAATGCCTTGCAGGATGGCTCTACTCTGCTGCTAGCAACACCGCTCTGCTACATAGAGATTGGTAGATAGGTCAGGAGGAGCATAAGGACTAAAAGGGGTTGAAATTAGGAGTAACCTCGATACCATACACTATTAGCAGGGTTAATGCAGAAAAAATGATCCATTATTACAGTGGAGATCCCAGTTAAACTGAGAAGCACTGTTGTGCTGTACATGGACTATATCAGCCTCTCGCAGCCAGGATTCCTCCAGAGACTGTTGGGGTTCCTTGAGGAATGTCTGCCTCTCAGATATCTAACCACTGACCTATTTTTTTTTTTTTATATCTGTAGGGGGGGAATTCTTCCCAGTGACCATCAATGTATAAAGTATTCTGCCCAGTGACCACCATGCTAATGTACTGTAAGCTGTGGCTATAGCAATTATTGGCAGGCCTGAGACCTGAAATTATTTCAAGGACTCCTTCATGTTATAAAATTTAAGAGAGGCTGCACTATATTAATGAGGTTTATAGTTATTGACAGACTGCAGATTCAATATATAGATCAGAGATACTGTGGCAGTGAGTATACTTACAAGGTGAAGTTTTGGAAATTTCTAGCATCAAAGAACATCTAGTGCAAGATCCCCTATGATGACACCAACTTGTTCAGCAGCAAGCTGAATGCAGCCATCTCTAAATCAACTAGGGAAAGTTCAGGTTCAATTCTGACCTTCAGGCATCAAAGACAAGCCACTGACAGAAGACAAGCAGTGGAAAAATGTAAAGTTGTGAGGTTGCACAAACTAGAAAGAGACTACAAGAGAAACTGGAAGAATACTCTGTCAAGTCTTCTGAAGTTGCCAAAAAATAATAGTACTACTCCTCCATTGCATCCTTTTTGAAGGTGGTCTTTGATAATTTCAGTGGAAGACAGACTGAAACTCTTTACTAGTGTCTAAGCATAGAAGATAAAGGATTTCTGGGAGAGTTTGAACATTTCTAAAGGTTATCATTGAAATTCAAACAAAGACCTCCTGTAAATTACTTTCTAGAGATGAAGATTCCTTTGTAATTGGAAAGACAAAATAATTCTGATACAGTATATAATATATTTGTAGCACTACCCCTTAGGAGTTGCTGAGTTTTGGGTCCCCCTATAGTCCTGCACAGCCAGGCGACAAGCATTTTCTATACATACTTGCATCCAGGAGGCAGTAACCAGTCCTTCAGCTTGGCTTTTGGATATTAGGGAATGAATAACTTTGATGGAGTAAGGGATGTATAGGATGCCCAAGGGAACTGGGGACAAGCTTCCTGGAACTATGTACAAGTCTCTCTAACAGCAAAAAAATCTCTTCTTGGAGAGCTAGCCAGCATGTCCTGGTGTACTATCCCAGGCCCCGTCCCTTCAAATAGAAGACAGTCCCAGATAGCAGCTAATCCAGTTTCCCACTAGAGTGCTCCTTCCCCTTACAGGCCTAGGGGGGTGTAGTTATACTCTCTTAGTCCTCTATCTGTGAGCTGATGGGTTAGTGGCTGCTCTCAGGCCTTCTGCTAGACCTCTCCTTTCCTGCTGCATAGGTATCCTCGCTCTGGGGACCGATGAGGTCCTGAACTTTCCTCCTTTCAAGCTCCTCTGCCTGTAGACGAGCACCTTCCCATCTGGACCCCCTCCCAGGCTCCTGCTCTCCAGCCTCTCACTTCATCTTCCACCTGACTTTCTTGCTGCTGAGCAGGCTCCAGCACATTTAAATGCTGCCCTGGCCCCATGCCAAGCCTCCTGCTTGGGGATTAGCAAAGGTCCTCTAATTGTGCATGCCAATCTCTCCTCACCCCCACCCACTGCTTCTAGAATCTTCTCCAAGATTCTAGAGTAGGGGGAGGTGTCAAAGAACTGACCTGCGGAGCCTCTCAACCCTGACCTCAAACAACCCCTTCTAACTCAGCCCAGGATGCTATTCAGCCTTTCTAGCTGAAAGCCTAATCTAGCTCCCCCTAGCTATCTGGGAGGGTGCTACATGTTCTAGAACAGGCATAGAAGGGGCAGTTACCCCAATGTTAGAAGACAAAATAGTGGAAGATTTTTACTCCACACTATTTTTTTAAGAAAGAAGACAGGGAACTTAAGACGAGTGCTTGACTAAAAGAAGCTAAACAAATATATCCATTATTTAAAATGGAAGCACTCCACTCAAAACTTCCTATGACCTATCTTGGAATTGGTTGCTATCTGTAAACTTATGAAATGCATATCTTTATATTTCCATCCATCAGAGCTTCCAAAAGTACCAATGGCTGATGGTGGCGCACAGTTCTGATGTCCACCATTCGGCCTTTCAGCGTCGTCAAAGAGCATTTACAAAGGCTTTATTCCTTTTAAAAGCAATGCTGAAAGAAACCACGTCTAAGAGCCCACCATTACTTGGACAATATCTTGTTGCTGGTCAGAAATGAAAAAACACTCATTTCCCATCATTAACTCCTATTATTTCTATTAAACAATCTAAAAGCTTTGGTTGGCCCATCAACTGCCATGACACTTTAGTAAAACCAGAACTATTGTATACATACTTGCTGGACTTTTCCTTTCCTGTTGCATCTTTAAGGCAGCAAAACCACATCAAATCCTGAATTCAGTACGTAGCTGGTCATATGGGATTAAGGGCACAGATTACAACCAATCATTTTACACAAAGGTGAGCAGATAGTTTTCCAGTTGTTGTTCTTAGGTTTGGATATACTTTAAAAGCCACTTTCACTTAGACTTACCTATTGATTTCAATGTATTTTCCAAAAGTGGGGACATTTTGTTGAAATCTCTCAATATCAAAAAAATTTCAGAGTATTGAAAACTCACTTTTTTGCTGATCCCTACTATTCACAAAGACTACATCTGACAGAGTGAGATCATTTCTAGAAACCTAGTATCTGTAAAGGGTGTATTTTGTGTTTTGGTCAGTAGTTTTCCAGGGAACACTGGAATTTTCCTGCAGGGCGGAAAGAAAAATTTAATGTCCTCATGACAATTGCATCATTTTTTGACATCTGCTCAATGTCTTCATGGTATGGGCAGAATCCAAAAAGAGATCTCACCGGCTTTTATTATGTTGGTCACATCTTTATTTGTTTTGTACTCGGAAAGGAACATCATGATACATCTGTTCATTTTTTGGGATTTCCTTTCCTGTAGAGAACAACAGAGTTGCCCTCAAAATAAGGCTATCGGGACAACAGTATGAAAAGAAAGATAAGGTGTGTCTCAAGCAAAAACATTTTTCAAAGTTTACCTATAGTAATTTTTTTTATAGGTTTGTATGGAGTAAGGGATGGTGAGAACCCCTGTCAAGGGGGATATCTCCTCACTTTCTTTAATGAACTCACAACAGAATGAGAGAAGAAATAACTCCAAAATAAATAGCAATTCACTTTTAGACTGTTGTCACAGAAACAGGTGTCTACATTGAATGATTTCCCCTCATCTCCTATTCTTCTGACAACTATAAACTGTTTGATTTTCAATCACTTTCTATATAAGGTGGTATCAAAAAGTTTTGAGACTAGTTTCTAACAGGCCAACAGATGGCAGCACTAGGCTGCACACATGATCACAGGGAGCACCGATCTTCATAAGTCAGTGAGCCAAAAGACCTCGTCCTGTGTACATCAGGAGCTGTGCAACTGGTGCTATTCTGACCTTGTACATTGCCACTTTGGTTATTTCATCATGGACAGCAAGTTAGAACAAAGAGCAAACGTGAAATTGTGTGTGAAACCCGAACACCAA